GGAAAGTCCATCGTGTGAAATCATGACACAGAGACATTGGGGCGAAGTTGTTGGGCCGGAACTCCACTGACTCTCCTGATCCGCCTTAAGACACAAGTGTCCGAACTAGACTTACGCCCGAAATGAGCCTTGCAAGCCGTGTAATTAGCCGAATTCCCAAACCCTCCACAGCGTGGGATTGCAAAAGGATTCGACTCGAACTCCAAACGGCTGTGGGCGACCCGAAAGCCCAAAGCAAAGCCCAACAATTGCTCGTGCTGTTGGTCCTTCTTTGCCTTTCGTGGCATCGGACGACGCCGCAGGACTCGGCAATGGGTTTAAGTATGGTTTAAGTCCGTGGGTTCTTTCTAGGGTTTACACCGGACTCGCCCCTCGATTGAATTTCTGATTACTGCGATGCGGCCTGGATTTAGATGAAGGCGCGGTCTGAGCCGATGGCTATGGTTATGCTACCAAGAACTGTCACTTCAACTTCAGGCAGGTCATGCTTCACGCCGGGTTTGGGACTTTTGGACTTCCTCATGGTAGAAGGCCGATGTGTTTGGGCTCTCTCCATACAGCTAACCTCCCTGAAGAAAGCAACTGCAGAAACGCTTAACTGAGTTCTGAACGCTGCATCTGCCACCTGTGCTCGAAGGCACGGATTGGTCGTCTTCGTTTTCGCTCGGACATCTACACCAACCAAACAGAATTTGCGAAAGAAGCCGCTTTAGGATGTCGAAATCAACACTCACTCCTCATCCTCACCGTCACCCTCAACCACGACGGCCGAAAGTGCGAGCAGGAACAGCAGTCAGCACAACACCATCGTCATCGTCAGCGTCCGCAGATACAGACAGAGCTCACGCAAAATCTCGAAGATGACGGGATCCAACATGCGACCCAAAGCTTCATCGCCAAGCTTGCGGCTTTTCACCCAGCGTGGGTGTAGCAAAGCTGATCCCATGAACCCTGAATAAGAGCAATGGGCCTCATGAGACCAAAAGCTTTTCAAGGGCGACATGCCTTCTGCACGGGTCCGGCCTCGGTAGGCTTTCGGTCGGCGACCATCCGGCGCTGGGCTGAGGCACCTGCGCTGTACTTGCGGTGCTCGGCCGCTTCAGCTCTTGCATTTGTGGGTGCAAGACCGCACCGCACATGCAAGCGCGGCGAGCCCAGGCTCCTCCACAATTCCATATGCTGGCCTATGTCATGCTTCGTGTGGTGGTGCTCCGAGGTCTCGGGCCCTCCATGTTCCAGGGCATCATTCGCAGGGATTTCGGAAATTGGCCCCAACGCTAGGATTTCAGGACTGTGAAGTGAACTGGCCTGCTTACCTGCATGTGAACCCTGAGCATCAAACCGGCTCTTGAAGCCTGGGCATCAGCGACAAAGTTTGTACACATGCGCAAGCGCCGAACGCAAAACATGAATTACCGCACAGAGCAGCAACTACACTCATCAATTACACATCAGACCTCATGCCTCCGCAGCTTCTGGCAGCACCGCAACAAATTGGCATCAACAATTCCAGACTCAGCGCCTGTGTCTGCAGGCAGGGCCGGACGCGTTTGCGGGGTGTCGACCAAGGACTGGCCGGAGCCCTCGTCACCTTCGGAGGTGTAAGTTCAAGCGGAGTCCGCAGCTATCGCAGCCTGCAAAAGCAGCTGAACACATTGACATATGCCGACATATGTATGGCCGTTCGTGGTTTCGACAATTGACAATCGCGCAGCGCGGCTGACTGTAGTCGTCCTGACTTTCCCACAGCAGCTCACTTGTCACCCAAGAATCCGACGTAAAACTCAAGATCGCCAGAGCCGAGAGCCCAGAAGCAGCTGACATATGATCAGTGGGACTTTGACCTACAGCTTGTGCATGGGTCCAGCTCGAAAACTCGGATTGAGGGGCACGAGGGTCACCTTTTTCAATGAGCCACCTGTGCCGTCAAAGCTCCGCTGGCATAGCTTAGATTGCAAACCCGTATCAGAACCCACAGTCCTTTCCTGCTTGAACTTGAAGCCAGCGACTAAGCTGCAACTGTTGAAGACGGTAAACATCTTGCAGCGCTCTGCCTCTGAACTAGGCCGCTAACACCTTCAAGCTCATCGAAGGACGTTCAGGGTATCATGTGTTGGGACAGGGCAGTGTGGGGCATCAAACAATCAAAGCGTTACGAGCTCTCGGGCCTGTCGCACGGGTCCCCATAAGTGGCTCCAACCATCCAATGCCCGCATATTGAGCAGACAGCTGTAAACAGTGAGAAGGATGACGATACTATCACCAATAAACAAATACCATGGAGACGGAGACGAAGAGACAAATACAAAGAAAGGGATGCACAAACAAGTGGATGCATGCATAGATGGGGAGCGAGAGAGCGAGAGAGGGGAAGAGAGCCAGAGAGAGAGATGGAGATAGACTTAGAGAGAGAGAGAGGGAGAGAGAGAGAGAGAGAGATAGAGAAAGAGAGAGAGAGAGAGAGAGAGAGCGGGGGGAGGATTCATGGACGTGGCTGGCTGTCTGGCTAGATTCCGGGACACTATTTTGTTCTGATTCGAAACTATCTTAACTATCTCTGTTTCGTTTAGTTTTCAGCCACCTGCCGCCCATCCCAAACTCATCCGAACTCCCGTAGATCCGGGACATCAAGCATCCATGCCTATGAACGACTGACGGGAAGGGTTTTCTGCTCTGAGGCACCAGCTTCGAAGTGGAGCTTGACACAGCAGTGCGTGGCCTCGAATACCGCGGTCTTACGAAGGTTGAGGCTTGCGCGGGAATCCGCAGCAAAGAGATCTCTTTGCCTCCAAAAGGTCCGGGATGGAACCACAGCATAACTTTTCACTGGGTAGTGTAGTAGTGTATTGCTGATCATGAGACCTTACCAATGGAGGACTCACGAGGAACAGGGCATGTCGCTTTACGACAGGGTAAGAGAAGCAACCGAGAAGAACAGCAAGCGCCGTGCAGGCTTAGGCTTCAAAACTTCAAGCGGCATTCCGTTGATAGCGTATTATTTAATTGCAGGTCGCTAAGCGCACGTGGACTTTCGTCAGCTTCTGAGTTCATAGCTCAGCGCTGCGGATGGACACTGGTAGCCGCCTCCGTGCTCTTTCACGTTTCGGGATGTTTCGGGCCCTCGTTCTACGGGGTAGCAGGGGCAGCAGAACTACAAAGCATTGTCGTGTGCCAAAAGCGGCTGGAATAAGATTTGGTACACAGTCTTGAGCTGTTTTTGCGAACTTTGTGAACGTTGTTGCTGTTCGTGCGTGTGGTTCAATCCGTGACTATTGTCTGTCGAGTGCTTCTCCCTGGCCAGTCACTTGCCGACAATGTGGGTTGAGGCTTTGGGCGCTTGAGCTCACCTGAGCCGTCACCGATCAAACACTAGTTTAAAGAATCAGTCCCAAGCAAAGCAAACTAGAACCAGAAAGTGCACCGGGAAACCGCCAGAGCCAGCCTGAAGACTCCTCGGTACGTACATCGAGCTCGCAGCACTCGTCCAAGGGCAAGATTCGCCTTTGTACCGAGGTGGGCTTGGAACTTGCGCTGCTCCTGTGTAAACACACATGAGGAGCCCTATGAGTCGGGCTGGTTTGCAGATGACCCATCTGAGACTAAAACGAGGAAAATACCAGGAACCCGAAAACCCAACCGAAGAAAGTGATGCAAGAATGGACATCCGCGCGATCTAGTTTTCTCGCGTTCGCCTTACCCGCGCATCGCCCGGGCACCCGATATCGAGCTCGACCCCGTAATTGTCGACGTCCACGCCTCACCCGCGCACAGCCCGAGCACCGGCCGTGCACCCGATATTGCACTCCACCCATTGTCACCCGCGCAGCCGATATCGCGCTCCATGGCCACGCCCGACCCCCTGTCCAGTCATTCACCGCCGCACCCCTCGACATAACTAACCATCTTTCGCGTCAACCCCCGCAGTCTGACCCATCGCCTCCCGTCGTTCCATCACCCACGAGGGGTTCCTGGAAACAGCACAACAACAACACATACAAACCCCGAAATAAACGTGTGTACAGTGTGGTCATCATGCCCTTCAAATGCCGAAATCCAAGCTGTGAACCGGCTTCCGGCCGTCCACGATCCGGCTTTCTGCTGTGCTGAGCCGGCTGCCAGTTGGCACCGTCTGCCTTGCCGGTGAAGTCGAAAATGGCATTCCAGAAGTTGCGATCTCGTGGGGGGGGTCTTGCTGTTTCAGTGGGAGCCTTGGCTTGACAAAGGATCAGGTGACCTGGTGTGTGCAGCTGCATTTCTGGAGCTGGCTGAAGCTAGAAGCAACCATGAAACTGCCGGAATAGCAAATCCAAAAACACTGGACTCAGCCGGTACCTTCGAACCTAGCTCAGGCGACCTCCAACTCCAACAGAAGCTTGCGGTTTGTCTGTGAGCTCTGGTGTGAAAGCTTCAAAGCTGGTGCAGCTAATGGCAGCATGCCGTGTTTTTTCGAAACTGGTGCCAAGAAGAATGCAGCCGACAAATGCTGGCAAGCCTTTGGAATCGTTCTGGAAGTCAGCTCATGGTACTACCGGCTTTCACTGTAGCTGCATGGTGCGTCACTGGCATAGATCCAAGGCCCGACCTAGAACTAGGAGTCACTTTGGCCTCCTTGAAAGAGGAAACTTCGAATCGCAGCTGCTTTTTCATAGGCTTTCAGCATGGAGGTCAATGTTTCCCTATGGATCTTTTCTCTCGGCAGGTTAGAAGCAGCGAGCAACTCGAAGGGCCATGTCGCTTTGCGGCATCCCTAGGTTGGCAAGTGAAACCTCTTGCAGCTTCTCAGCTTTTAGATGCTTTCTGACAGGCAGTGCCTGAATAAACCGGTTAGGAGAACCCCGTGTCCCTCGTACAGGAACGACTTGGCTAGGATACAACCTCTCGAACATTACACCCTGAACGAGCCTTGAGTTGTTGGGCTCGTGTACTTCAGTAAATCCCACAGCCTCAGGTGTCAGCCCTGTGAACAGGCGCCAGACGTTATTCGCCGTTCGCCTAAAGCTTCAGAGGTTGAACCATCGATCTCGACACAACCTGGCTCAATGCTAAGGGTTCGGGACTTGGGATCCTTGGTCTTTGGGCTTTCTGGCTCGGAGTTGGGTTCGACGAGGTTCTGACACCAGCGGTGCAAAAGCTCATCTGGTTTCATGCCGGCGGTTCTCATGGCAGGCAACATGCCGAAGACTGACTAGAGATGACTAGAGCCCGGAGATGACACGGATTGCGAGGTCCGAAGGAATTTGCTAGTCTCTGAGTCACGCGCTGGCAAGAACAAGCCCGACTTATCTACAGGTTGAAAGTCCTCCCCATGCCAACTTCCATGATGAATCCCGGTGTGCCAAAGAGTGTCTATATAGCTGGTTTGCAACACGAGGGGCTGTGGCTGGGGTAAGGAAAACCCTACCGTGAAGACCTATTTCGACGGGGAATCTTGGGCCTGTCCCGTAGACGCTGGCACTTCGCCTGCCGATCTCCGAGGTACCTGAATGCATGGAATTTTGGCCGACGGGTCGCTGTAGACTTTCGCTTCGGACTTCGAGTACAGCCCATTCCATCACTCGCACAAACGAGGAGGACACAGTTGGAGTTTCCCGCAGCATTCCCAAAAATCCAGTGGCCTGTCTCAGGCTCCCCACTGCTCAAACGGAAGAAGTACGACAATGCCGGCACAAGCAAGAAGCCATACAAGGCTCGAATTGATCTGCACACGCTTGAAAGCTTAGTCGCGTATGTAAATGAATATGCCAAGTTCTCGAAGGAACTTCTATGGTAAGCAGATGTTAGCGAGGAAACGACATCTGAAGCATAGACTGTCAACCTTAATTTCGACACAAGCCTGCAGCTTATCGGCAGGGCACGCGATGTTGAGCCGTGCCGTCGGCGAGCTGGCAGGCAGCGGCTCGCCCTTCCAGCGGCCCGGCCATGAGAAGTACAGAACGACGTAGCTCACCATACAGGCTCTAGTGACTCTAGTGGGGAAGTGCCAGCCACGAGATTTCGGTTTACAAAAAGCGACAGCGAGTCTACGAGTCTACTGGTATACCGTGCTTTGAACTGCAAAAACTGGTTTAGAGTTAGTTTAGAAAGCTTTACATCAAAAGCATGGCGTAAACAAGTCAGTCACAACACTGACTGGTGGATTGTGATAGACAAAATCCGGGTTTTTCGCTGTGGTAGCTTTATTGCTGGCAGTCTGGAATCTCCGGGGAGTGGGCAACCTTCAACGGCAACAGGACCGTACCAGTGGGCACTTGGTGCATGCAACTTGGCGCTTGCGGCGCTTCGAATGCAGAATATGTTCGGATACTCCACTGCCTTTCCAATCTTACGAACTCCGGAAGCCCCACCAAGCCGAGAACGAGATCGTTCTCGCCCAGCCCTAGACATCGTCGACAGGCTCGGCGGCCCCTACGCCTCATTTTGCAACCAGGCTTGTTCCGTTTAGATGTGGCTTGCTGTGGCTGTTCCATTAAGTAAATACCAACTCAAGTCCTACCAAGAGTTCGCGTCGTGTACGCGATGCGCGTGCCGGACGATTTGCGCAAGTGCCATGAGAAGATGAAAACCCGTGAGCACGCCGCACAAAACGAAAGATCCAATGAGCCCTCTTCATCCTGCTGTGAACTGGTACAGTGCGAGAAAGCAAAGCAACAGCAGATGAATCCTTCGTGGGAGCCTTCGCAACTTCTTTGAGAGCGGCAACCACGGCTTTGCGCTCGGACCACCTGCACGGGTTTCCACCGCAATCGGACACAGGCCCACACGTGATCCAATGCCATGGTTCCGGACTTCAGGATGCACGGATGGATTTCAGCCTGTTTCAAACTTTGGCCCTGTGTAAGGACCTGGTGCGGCTGTTGCTGCAGTTACGTAAAGCCGGGAGTAGCTTTGGTAGCCGTGGCTCAGACATCGCCATGACCTCAAGAGATGTGCTACTTCAAGGTGTATATGGCCGCCAGGGTTCTTGGCACGTAGAGTTCTACCGCAATTCCGAACAGCATGCGCGGCGGTCAAACGTGGCTTCCCGTAAACCAAAAGGCCTGCTGCTTCCGTTGGACCCGACATCCGACATCCCAAGATACCAATCTTCTGAGACTCTCTTTTGCAGATGCACTGCCAAAAACCCCTGAACCGACCAAAAAACCGTATCCCGGCAGCAGGAAGACATGATGGACTGTTGACCAAATTTACAGGCAAAAAACTGCTTCCTGTTGGTTTGTGTGGGGGAATGCCACATGACCCAAGTTCGGCGCCACCATTATACCTCATCTTAGAAGCACAACAAAAGCAGTGACATCCCTCCTGAGAGCAGAAATCGTTGATGGCTGTGCAACACCCGCCGGACGGCGCCACACCTACTGTCCATACAAAAAATGACAAGCTGCTCGATCCAACATCCTTTAGTTCGCACCCGAGCAAGCGAGAGCACCCAACATCGAGGGGCCAACTCAAACTCATCAAATGCACCTAACAAAAGAAATTGCCTGGCTTCTGAGCTGGCCGTTGGCTGTCTGTAACCTGGCAGGGCATGGAGAGAGAGTTGCGGGTCGATACGAACAACGCAACAAAGTCAGGGTCCACGGTCTCGGTTATGGTATTGGCGTTTGGGCACTCGCAGTGGGGCTTAAAAGCTTTGACTTTGATACGTCTCTTTGGCATGTGGTGTCAATGAGTTTGGGTTCTCAGTGAAAGAAGTTGCAATCCGGAGCTTTGCGGAATGAAGTCTATATCAGCGATTCCCATGAAGGGCGACAGTCTTGCACTATGTGCGCGCCAGCCGGCAGCATAATTAGTGCTGCTCTGTGTTCTGTGTGGCCTGGCCAAACCGGCCCGCTGTTTTTGGCTATGGGGTTCACTGCCATTCCCAGTTCTACTTCTGGCGAAGATGGCCTTAAAAGCTATAGCAAACACCCGAAGCCATGAACGTGCTATGTCAGTCGTGGACTGATGCTCGCGCCTGCGCCCTGCTGTGAAATCCGCAGCTGCCTGCCAGAGAAGGCACAAGGCTTCAGCCACGCACTGCTGATATCACAGACCCAGATCCCAGCCTTCAGTTCTCAGTGCCCCAAACCATGGCAAAATCCTACCCTCAAACCGAACTTCTCACATGTTGCTTGAATTTCATCCTCCGGCAGAGGGCCTTGCAGCAGCGGCAGAAGTACAGCTGGCAAGCAAACATATGTATATAGATACGGATATTAATATAGATAGAGATATGTCCTCGTGACCAGGGATATCGAAACATCGATCAACACGTCCACAAGTTTTTCTTGGGCAATCTGTGTGCAGGCCTCGCAGCATGAAGTGCACTTCCAGTGCTCGGGGCAGGTGGGTCCTGGGTCCCCGCATGGGCTGTGGCGACGTGCTCAGGGTTTTCCGATTTCAAGGCTTCAGCGATTCAGATTACAGCGCTGTCGGCCTTCTTTGCCATGCTCGGAGTGCTGACTTAAAGCACAGCTTGTCCGGATCAAAGCCCTGGTTGCATGCGAAGCATCGTTCTAAGCTTCCGTTCGGGAGGCCTGAGTGCTTGTACTAGTACCAGCTCGTCTAAGTGGCTTTAGAAGCTCGCTCTTGGTGTTCTTAGCTCTTTCCAAACACAGTTTGCAGCCGCACGGCTGGAAGCTTCCGGCTGTCCACGTGGAGATCCGGCAGCTGCCTCGAGAGTTCGTCTCTGGCCTCCCCCCTCTCCCCACTTGCTTCCGGCTTTCCGAAGCTCCCTGGCCTGTGAGCGGAGGCGGCAGGCGACGCGACCGTCACCGCCGCATCCCTGGCGGCTTTGGCGGCCTTCGGAAGGCGCATCAGGTCGGAGGATCTGGGCGCTTCGAACGTAGGTACGAGTACCAGTATTTGTCCAAAGGCTCTGGCATCCAGCTTCAGCTATACTGGCTTTCGCAGCTCAGCTTAGGAGCTTCGGAGTCTTCGTCAACTCGTCAAGGGGTTCGTGGGCCTAGCGGTCTGTGCGGCTCAGACGGGCTCGGGCGCCTCCGGCAGACCCCAGTCGCAAGCGGCGCGCTGGAGCTCCAGAAGGGCCACCAGGGCAGCCTCCAAGGAACTCAACGCGCGTTTTAATCGCGCGGTCTTTGAAGTTTGTCTTTGCAGGATGCAACTTGGGTCAGTGAGCCTGAGAAATGCTCGGATCCTGGAATCGTGCTCAGTCTGCAGACACCTAATGACACTTAGCTAACAGATGATCTGCGGTCTTTCCAAAGATACCGTTCCTGCCTTCTGTCATCCTTCGTGGGCCAGGGTGCAACGTGAACTCGAGTAGGCAGTGTTTCAAAAGCCCCAAGCCCTTTCAAACCTCGAAGCAACATGAGCACATATCTTCAAGTCGTGCCCGCCTCCCCTGACGGCCGATCCACGTCGCCTTGGGTGTCGGCCGGTGAGACCGGGACGCTTATTCAAGTTCAAGCACGCGCGGAGTTTGGGACGAAGGAAGATTCATGAACTGAGATGTGTTGGGGATCGTGGTTCCAAATGGACCTTCCAGGTAAACTGGTGTTGGAGCTTTTGATGTCGTCCGAAGTAGAGGAAGGGAAAAGCAAAAACAAGCAGTTGGGATTCCGCCTCGTCGAGAAGTTGATTGTATGGGTTGCCGATCAAAAACCACATGGCCCCATGGGCTCCTGTAGGCAACTGAAGATTCCGCAAAATCCGCACGCTGCCTAGGAACAAGGATGTGAGGACAAAGCTCGGGAGTTGAGAGGCTTTCAATCTCAACGTATTTAGTGTCGATTGAGTCTCCAACAAAGCATGTCGGATCATGCCCACGGAGTCACTCACAAGTCAAACGGTAAGTCAACAGTGCCAAGCTGCTCCCCCGAGGCTCCAAGGTGACATCGCTGAAGTTCAAGGGCCCCTGGTTTTGTCTTGTTTTGAGCTGCCGTTTTGAAACTTCGGGCTTTCTAGCTGCATCTGGCTGTAAAAGAGCACACAAAGGGCAGCCAGGGACCAGTGGTCAGAGCCAAGCAGCTCTTGAGACTTTCGTTTCGTGCTACATAGAAAGGAACTAAACTCACACTTTTCATTTTGGGGCGACAGAAAAGCCAGCTTAGGATTGGAACTGGAACAGCCGCAGCGCTGTCCTTCAAGCCGTTGAATTCCCTCCGCGAAACCGTCCAACAAGCCCTGAATCTCAGATTCCGCTTCTGGAAAGCTACGAGTATCACAACACTCCAGCAAACATGCAACTCTCCAGCTGTGTAGACCCGGGTACTGCTGCTTGGAGAAACCGCTGAGCTTCACGTAGCACTTCATGCCACCCCTGAACTTCTCAGCCATGTGCCAGGATTCTGCGACTGAATTTCTTTGGTAGGGCCTCGCTGGGCTTCGCGATCTCGGCCGGCAAGACTGGTGTGGCAAACCTGACTTGAGCCCTTGCGTGAGCACACCTCTGAAGAAGCCAGAAAATCCCTTGCGACCGAAGACCTGAAGGTTGGGGCCGTGAGGCAAACGCTTCAAGATCCAGGCTTTGATTGGCCCAAGAAGAATTTCAAAAGTCACACACAGCACATCTGATTTCTTCCAGTCGGCTTTCAACTACCAGACGACATGCGAGGCAAAAACGATAATGGCTTCGCACAGCCACAACCTCCTGGAGCTTCCAGGCCATTGTGTCCACAACGCCCTGAGCTACATAACGGCGAAGCCTTGGGGCTCTAGCAGAGGCATCACCTTTTAATCCGATCCCGTCTTCTCGCCACGCTGCAGGGGCTCTTTGTCTGGGCAGGCTTGGAAGGCAATCGGTATCGGAAGAGGTCTGCGGAGCCTTGGGAGGAGCCCATTGATTGCACTGAGCTTAATCAAAGTCAGAAGTGTTGCGGATTTCTGAAAAGTGTAGATGCTTTTCTTTACCCCCTGCTTCGCATGGACAAGCCAGCTTGGCAGGGTTTGCACTGTTGGTCAGGGCTTCACCAGCTTCAGGTGCAGATGCTGAAGTTAAGGATTCCAGGGATTCCAGTCTGACGCATATCATCAAGCCAGTTTCGGCCGCGCGCTCTCGGCCGAGCCAGGCGCGGTTCGGACAAGGCAGTCAGGGTGATGCAAAGAAATAAACGCACTCGGAGTTTGCTGTTTACTGGATCCAACAGGAAAGCAGAGAAACCCGGCTTCCTAGTTTCAGATGGCCGCTATCCAGTCATGGGTGCTTCCGGGCTATATTGTACAGGGCTTCCGGCTCAGGAGCAGATGTGTGGAAGAAGGGCTAGGCATGAGGGCTCTTTGGAGATCGCCCCTGACCCAGGCAAGCAGCAACTCGGTATGCTCAAGAGCTTTTACACGTAATGTGGGAAACCCAGAGCCAGCCGAACAATCGCATGTCAGGACCTTCGGACCTTCAGCCGTAATGCACTTCCCTTCAACCTAGTTCACGCAATAAGCAAATAACGGCAAACAGTAATTCCCAAACCGCGCCACCTCACCATGCTCGGCTGGTGCTGGATGGCAATTTCCTGGCGCAAATTTGTAGACGCCTACCTGGTAGCGAGTTTTGCGGACTCTAGGTTCCCCCGTAGTTAAAAGCACGTGATCAGCGGTCTTCTTGCGGTCGCGGAGATCCCATCCTGAACCCAACCCGTCCGGGACCTCGTTAACCAGCTCGACTTCGGGAAGGATGTCGCGCTCTGCCTGGACATCTAATTTAGTTGGACAAGTTTGGCGTTTTGATTTATGCCTTCGGCATGCCTCGGCCATGCCCAGCACTACCGGGTGGCGGGAGAAGCTTGCTCGGACCGTTTCTCGAAGGGTCCAAACCAGTACATGCTTTGCTGTCTTGGATTTCGTTGCCTCTTCAACATAGAAAGGCAGTACCTAAGTCCCTTGTATTGAAAATTTCGAAATACATCTAGAACCTAGAATGAATCCTAAAATAAATTCAACTAAGCCTGATGCGATTCCATATTGAGCATACAGCCAAACAAAATAACAGTAAAAACGAAACACAGGCATCTGCTTGCTTTCCCCCGCAGCCGCCCGGCACCCTCTCTCCCCTCGACCTGGCGGGTCTAGTTGTCTTGATTTTGTATCTTTTCGGCTCGGGCCGCGGCGACCCAGAGGGTAGCCTTCTATTATTTTGCATTGTTGCTCTCTTCTCATTTTTGGTGCTGTTTGTTGTAAGGACTGGCTACTTCTTCCGCTTGGCCGCCTCGTCTTCTAATCATAATCTCTTCACCCGATTATTGTACCCCTCTGTCCCACGGGGTGTGCCGTGAAACGAGTTTAGTATCAAGGCTTCAGTTTGCATTCTAGCATCTTCTTTCTGCTGGTGGCTATATTCGTTCTCGCAGCCATCTCAGCTCATACGTTCTAGTACGCACTCACTCGTGCATGGTAGGGTTTCGGATGCTGGGAGAAGCCCTACAAATAAACTGTGCGAAGGACAAGCGAAGAGCTTCGACACAGGTTAAGTAATTGGTGAGAGTTCCCAGCCCTCTTCTGGGATCCTTAAATTCCTAATACCCTCCACTTGTACCGCCATTCCTGGAGGTTTTTTACGAAGCGGAGGAGGGAATTATTTGCCTGCATCTTTGCAGTTGCTTGCTTTGTTGTTGCTTTTGCGGTTGTTTGTTTTTTTTTGGTACTGGTTTTTTGGGAATTCAGCGTAAACAACGAGGCGATACAAACTCGATTTTTATTCGGATTGTAGGCTTTTTCAACACGACGGGAGGGCCTGCTCTAATCCTAAACATCTCGTCAGGTAACCTAGATGTTCGGTCTGGCACCTCAGGGATTTCGCCGAAGAGGCTTTTTGATGCTATTTGTGCGTTCAGGTGGCATTAAGAAACCCATGCATGCAAACGGACCGCCATGAGCAACTGACAGGAACGGATGCATAAACGGCATCTGCTTTTGTTTCTTGAAGCGGGGCAATCCTTGATTACCGGTTCTTTCAAGGTGAAAACATGGGAGGCTGCACGAAAGCCCCTGAGGTAATCCCTCACCCGGTCCAGGTACTCAAAACCCACCTTCAGTCATGAGCAAATGTGTAGGTTACCTCGGGCGGGCTGGGCGGGACATAAAATTTCCTGGGGGGTGCGTAATCCGCAAATGTTTTCCCACCCACCGCTTGAGCTTAATAGCATGGGATCAAGCATGGGATGTAAGTGGCGAAAGTTTCTTAATGCACGAGCATGTTTCAGGCATGCTCCCATCCTGCGCCTCACACAAAGAGCTATGCCCAAGTGCATGTCGTACCTTGAACCCAACTTCCAGCGATGAGCGGAAGTTACAATGCGCAAATATGCATTCGCGAGAGATCCCTGTGGTACGAAGTGCAAGAACGCAAAAGCTTTCCAACGTGTATAAGCCATGCCCCTGGAATCCTAAAGCGCCGAAGACGGTTCCTGAGCTCTACTCGGTTCGAATGCTCCGCGACTTGGTGAGTTCGAGCCCCAAAACTCCAATGTGAAACGGACGAAAAGGAACGTGCCAACGGCTAAACAGAGGTCTGTCCAGAAATACTTGGGTCCTTCCTTCCTGACTGGTGACAAGGCAAAGACTCCGATACCCTGCTGCCTCGCGATTCTTGGAGGCGGCATGGCTGTCCTGAGAGGAGGGAGTTTGGGACTCAAGGCTTCGAGGTTTGGGGCCGGCTTTTGCAACCTCACATAGCTGGTCATCTAATTCACGGACGATCGCACTGAGAGAGATCAAGGTTCGGAGAGACTACAAACATGAACGCTGGGAGTAGGTACACCTAGATTCAGGCTAACATGTTGTGGACAAGAGCCTGGTGATCATCTCCCGCCAACGCTGCAGATCACTTACGGCACAGTTTCTTCTGCATCCAGACAAAGGTTTGACACTACAAACGCCATCCTGAGTGACAACGACCCGACTTGTGATTGCGGGCCAATCCTAGGTCATGAACTTCAACATAAAAACCATTCCGGACCAACGAATACAGCTGCCCAGCTATTTCGTAAATGCAAGCTGTCCACAAATTCATCCCAAACGGCTAAACACAAGAGTCTTACCAGAGCTCCCCACCCCCACCATACCCACCGGCAAAGACTTCTCTAAGCATCGACCCCTGTTTTGTGTCCAGTCCTGACATACAGGCTCTTCCACGCCACAAGCAGAACTGTCTGTTTCTGACTGTTGGTCGGTGGACGAGTTGTTGACACCTGCCGCAATGGCACTGGATGGCACAGGAGCCGCAATCGAACGTGACGGGAATGACACTAGTACTACTAGAGCAACCGGAGCAGCAGTAGCAGTAGCAAAAGTAGTCGTTGTAGTAGAGGTGCTAGTGCTAGTACTGGTCCTAGTACCACCAGTAGTAGTAGTAGTAGTAGTAGTAGTAGTAGTAGTAGCAACAGCAGCAGGAGTAGTAGTAGTAGTAGTAGTAGTTGTTGTTGTTGTTGTTGTCGGGGTAGGAATAGGAGCAGGAGCAGAC